TCTCTTCAGTTGTGATAAGCTATAGTCAGGCTACCTAAACTTATAGAGCGGTCTGACCAGCCTGTTCGTAATAGCATAATAATACAATATAGCCAGATTATAACCATTGGGTTCCAACATGTACGAGGCATTGGGTCAGACTACCTAAACTTATAGAGCGGTCTGATCCTCTGCCAGGTTCGTTTCTCTCTGACCCAGTTTGTGCGAGGCAGTGGGAGAGGCTACCTAAACTTATAGAGCGGTCTGAGGCTCCATGCAAACCAAAAATAAACAAAGCGCTGGGCTTCCCCAAACTTATGGGGACCTCCCAGCCTTAATGACCCGATCAGACTACACGCAATACTGCCTTCCTCCCAACCTTCCCCCAGATGCTATCCCTTTTTGTTCACAATCTGCTTTCAGGCAACCAAACAAGGTTTGAAACTGAAATTGCATACACATTTCTTTATTTCAGTCTGACTTATGTCCTGAATGTCAAGCTCAAAACCAAGTACAGGATCCACACAATACACTCAGTCAAACGTAGAGGGATGTACAGGTAGGGGTTATAGTTGGGTTTATAGAGGGAGTCAATGGATTACCACCCAGTTCCCTGCCTCCAGGACTCCGCCTGAGTCCCGGCAGAGCTCCCGCAATCGGTGGGGCAACCTCCCACAGAGGCCTTGGCGCGGATTACGGGCCACAAGCGCCTGCCGCCCTTCCCTCAGAACCAAAGGGACTAGACTTAGAGGAAGAAGGGCAGGATAAGAAGGTGTGAGACTCTCAGATCCAGAAGGAGTACACTCAGACTCGCGCGAGAGGGTCTTCAAGTGTTCACCGCCTGAGGGCCCCGCAATGGCAGCCAAATACAACGACTTGGTCAACTTGGAGTCGGAGAGTTCAAATCTCCTACCGAACTCCCAAATCGCAGCGGTAACCCCCGCCCTCACCCTGCCTCCTTACGCCCTAACACTTCCCCAAGTCACACCACTTCTCTTCAACCCGAATGCGGCCATTCAACGCTAATCAACCACATCTCCGCCCAGCAGTAGCCCGTAGCAGGCCCGGTAACCGCCGCCGCCCAGCCGGCCGTAACAGCCTGCTAGTGCTGCCACCGCCAACGGTAGCAGGCAGTAGCACACAACCTTTGTACAGTCCCCAGTCGTAGCCACCGTACTCAGCAGGAGTCACCGTTCCTAGGCGTAGCAGCAGTTCGCACCCTGCTTAACAATAGCCAACCGTAGTTTGTGCACAACTAGGACACCAGCAGCATCACACCGTGGCAGTCAACAGTGATAATACAGGTCACCAGTAGCCACGGTCCGCAACAACACCTCAAGCACCCGTATGCGGCAGTGGTCCGAGCACAACCCTGCCCTCCTCCTCAAGCCCAAACATCGCAATAAAGTGTTATGGGAACACCCACACCGATCAGCAACAATCAGCGACCAGCAGAGTTGTGGCAAGTTAGCAGCCCACCCGTCTTCAACAACTGCACCCAGAACGGTGCGGCAGCCTATAACAAGCTTTAACACACGCCGCCGCAATACGTGTGGCCCAAATGAGCTGTGAAATCCTCAACAGAAGAGGCAATACGGGTATTTGCATCTCTGAGGTCCGTTTCCCGCTCCTTACCCCGTTGGCCGGAATGGCGGTACTTGGCTCAGCGGGTAGGTGTCGTCTCTTGCTTAACCCAGCGGCTGCATATCACCCCGACCAATAGGCAAGTCCCCCTCTTACGCAGCTACTCCCAAAATATGGGCAGGTACGTCTGCTGCCCCGTACGCACCAAGTCAAGCCATTGCCCCCACAACGTAAAGCCGGAGTGTCCGACCACTTGCCGACATTCAGGTAAATCAGAGCTCGCGCGGCTGGCCCAAGGGTAAGTAGGCGTGGAATGAATCTTCCACTAGAATACGGGGAGATCCTTCCGCCATCCCCGACCCCGCTCCTTGACACTCCACGGCTCCTCCTTCGACCGACGGGTAAGTTCCCCTATGCTGCCTCAATCGACAGGATGTGCAAATGTGATGAATCTTCCGCTAGAACGCGGGGAGATTCATTCTCCTCCGTTCTTACACCACGCGGTTTTCCGATGCGTATACGAGTGACCCCACTAATCTAACATAAAAATTGACGCCACCACCGCGTTCACTGCACCTCGAAATCTCAATCTACTGCCCTCCCTTTCCGTTTGTTCCCACCAAAGGATGAACGGGGCATGGCTGTTCCCTCGTCAACTTCTCACAACCTCACCTCCCGTACTACCAGGATCGCTACTGTAATCAAGGGTCTGGCCCCACCATTCCACTCGCAATGTGCTAAAACCCATACGTAGCATCTTACCCTGCCCAAGTCCGTTTGGGAATGGACGGGATATTCTCCCTCCTCTCCTCCACGTCTGCCCGGTCATCGTCTCCACGCGCAGCCCGCTTTCCACCCAACTCCCTACCCACTAACCCATTATTAAAACTAACACTACCATCGCCTTCGCCCTGCCAAAAACCTCCGGGCTACCGTACTTTGCTGTCTCCCCGCCATCTCCGACCTCCTACCCGTATGCACCCGGCCCTACTTCGCTCCCGGGTTCACCGCGTCGCGTTGGCGTCACCACTTCCCGACGCTCCCCGGCGCAGCCCGTCATGGTTCCTCGACTCCAGCCGACCCCTCAACAGCGTCGCCCTGCCAGCGCCCGACAAACACGGACCGCTAGCAGATACAGAGACGAAAGCAAGACAAAAAAAGAATCCGCACGGTCCCTCCCCCTACTTATACGTGCCATTCGCGCCCAGGGGCCGTGCCAACTCCTCCGTGTCGCTCCAACCTCAACAGAT